TATCTAATCTGAATTAAAGTGAGAAATTAAACAAACAGATATTTGAATGATGGACTAATCTGATTTTTGTCTCAATTCATTGATTCCATTATTTGGTCTGTAAAGAATCTGAAATACGTTGAAATATTGTGTTTTTCTGAAAACCAAAGATATGAATTTTAATCTTTCCGAAAAAAGAACAGAAATATTAGCATTTGAGCTGCCACTATCACTGCATTTGTGTAACTAAAAAAAAGACTTCAACGATAAATAAATTGTTTAAATAGTTACAGATTATTTTCGGTAGGTAAACTCATCAATAAAACAACTATTTGCTTATAAAGTCGACTAAATCCTCAACCAAAAACCCCACAAAGAAAATGTAAGAAACTTTTTTTTAATCCTATTGTCATTTGTTTTGAACCAAAACCTAATATGTTGCCCAAAGCAGTCCAGGTAACAGTAAAGTGTGTGATCTGCTGTTGCTGCAGTGCTATAATAATGGGACTGAGGCACACAGTGACGTACTGTGAGTTTAATGAAACCTGTTTGTGTGTTACTTCTCTGATGGTCCTCTCATTACACATACAGCATATTCATAATCAGGTCCCTCAGTGTTTTAATAATCAACACAAAAGGAGAAAAAAAAAAATTAATAGATTTACCAAAATATTTGAATGACTTGAACTGTCTTGGATCAAACCACTTTCTTGCTCATGTCCATATTAGTTATTTATTTTTATTTCAAACATGTTTTTGGCTTTTGCTTAGTAGGGTACACATGTTTTTGTCACATGAATATTTTGGGAGAGGTTCAGCTTCCTTTATGTCGAGTAATTTAAGAGCAGAGTATGTTTGTGACTGTCTGTACTGCGATGTGTCACAATGTTTGAAAGATGGTGTCTTTATGTCTGAGTGTGTGGGAAAAAAATAAACGGTACAATATGTTTGATTGTTTTCATTTAGGTATTTTACCCTACTTGTACTTGTGTCTTAATTGAACGTTTTTTTACCTCACAGTGTGGAAGGTAAGTACATGCATAAACACATTACAACTGAAAGGGGTCTTCAGTATACCTTGACCTACAGTATAGAGCCATTTCACACCAAGTACTTTGCCGTACTAAGGGTGGATGAGGCAAATGAAGCCGCCGAAGTCACTTCTTCTTCTGCTTTGGGTTTACTGGCAGGCCGCAAACAACTTCACGGCGTATACTGCCACCATAGATGGTATACTGTATATGAACGTGTGAACGCACATTTTCGGAATTATATCGGAACTATACTGGGAAAAGTACTCCGGTGTGAAAGCGCCTATTGACACCTCACATGTTAGACAGGCTTTATTTAAATCAACATCATGGTTATTTACCTTTTTCAAATAATACCATTCTGTGATTCAAAAGTTAACTATAATGCAAAATGTCATTTAATATTTAAATTATTGTTTAATAAAATAAACTATGTTCCACTGTTGAGCATGAAACATTTAGTTGAAGTTTTTAACTAAAGTTAGTTTAAAATAAAAGACATTTAAGAATAAATACAGTGGAAGCACATTATAAAAAGGCATTTTGGCATTTAAAAAGCAAAGATAATCAAATAAACCCAACAGGTATAAAATACATAAAAGCTGCCGTTTGAATTTGAACAACTCATCCAAATGCTGCGTCAAAAAGTTACGTTTTTAATCTGGATTTTAAAGTATTAACAGTTGCAGCTGACCTGCAGGATTCAGGGAGTTCCAGATGGTCGGGGCATGAAAACTAAAATACTGTTTCTCCATGTTTAGTTCTGACTCTTGTGTGTGGCGCAGTGGGTTGTGCGTTGGTGTTGGGATCAGGGTTCAAACCCCACTGCAGTCAGCATGTCGTTGTGTCCCTGAGACACTTCACCCCAAATTGCTCCTGTGGGGATTGTCCACAGTATTGAGTATGTAAGTTGCTTTAGATAAAAGTGTCCAACAAGTGACATGTAATGTAATGTTGTAACAGAGAGCAGACCCGTCCCAGAAGACCTGAGACTCCTTGATGGTTCATACTTTTGCAGGAGATTGTTAATTAATATCATTTGGTCCTTAAAAACCAGCAATAGTACTTTAAAATCTATTCTTTGGTAGACTGGAAGCCAGTGTAAAGACTTCAGAACTGGACTGATGTGATCCATCAGGCACACATCACAACTTAAAAACACAACCAGTTTTACATGCAGCAAAAAACTAAACAAAACAAAAAACACGATACAACAGTTTAACACTTTAAGAGACTCAGCCGTAAAAGGTATAATAATAGAAAATAAAACAATGAAATGGTGATCCCGCTCTGTAAAATAAAGGAAGACAAAATCAATAAATACAAATATATAAATACCTATTAAATAAAACAATACAAATAAAACCCAAATAAGACAATAATACAAATGAAATAGTTAATAAGATGAATAAAGGTCAAATATTAAAACACCAACTTAAAAGGGAATCTTGCTAATACAATTGTAAAATAAATACTTTTTTAGATGTCAAAACCTGTTAAATAAATAAAACAATATAACAAGTATTAAAAGAATAAAAGACCATTTAAAAGTAATGTGTTGCTAATAAAAAGCTCATTTAAAACGATGTGTCTTTAACTGTCGTTTAAAAATGTGCACAAATCCAGCGCCTTTGTTCTGAAGTGTTTTGATGTTATGGATTATTATATTTTACTCCTGTGTGAACCTAGTAGTTCTTCACTTTAGAAGGAACAGAGTCCTAAACCTTTTTTCCTCAGTGATTGTAATGTTGTGTTAAATCTCTGTTTCCTTTGTTTTCGTCTTAAATATTTATCCTTGTTGATGTTCCAAATGCAGCTGCAATGAAAACTCAAACTTGACCTGAGAAAGTGTTTTTATTTGGTAAAAGTAAAACTGCCATTGTGCTGTTATTATTTC